AAGAGCAGGGTGGGAGCCCCAAACTGAGCATGAGGGGGCTGGGGAGTGGGGGATGATGTGGAAAAGGGGGAGAGAGGGGAAAATGTGGGGGTTGGGACCCCTAAACTGATCTGGGAGGGGCTGGGGATTGAGGACCATGAAAGATTGGAGGGAAAAGGGAGAAGGGTGGAAAAGGGGGGGGTGGCCTGGCAGGTCTGATGGTCCAATGGGGGTCTTTGGGCACAGGGGAGTGGGGAAAGGGTGGTGCCCGCCAGAGCTCTCAACTGACTGTGGGGTGCTGGGGTTGCTGGATCCAATCTCAGCCTTGGGTTATGCCAACACCTTCAGTTTAGAGGAATTACAGAGGTGGGACTGAACCACTTTTGAAGCCCAGGTTTTAATGATGGCAAATCACATCTATTGATAGAAATTAATTATTTAGGGTTACAAATGGTCAGACAAAAGATCTCCATCAGAATTATTTACTGCACAGTAGAAACACTAAGACTACCAGTAGTACAGCATAAGATAGGACAGAGCTCTACACTAAAGCAATTGTTGAAGCAATTCTACTCAAGCTGGCACCAAAGCAAGAATTATGAATTAGAGAGGGATGGAACTCCCCCAGACCAACGCTCGGGGGGAGATCTCTGCTCTCAACCCCCAGCACTGACCTTGGGGGGTCCCAGCCAAGGCAGGAATCTCCACACCCCCCCCAAGAAGGGTTCTGTTGGCACAACCTGTCCCTGGCAAAGGGGACTGGCCCTTTCTGGTGGAAAGGGATGGACTGACAGTCACTGGACTCCAGGGGTTGCCTCACCATCAGGGGGGTCATTTGGGGTGGGAGCAGCGGCCGAAGCTCTTCCTGCAGTCGGGGCACTCCTGGGGCTTCCCTTACTGGTGGGTCCATTGGTGTTGGGTCAAGTGGGAGCTCTGCGTAAAGCTCTTCCCACACTCCCCACACTTGTAGGGTCTCTCCCCGGTGTGGATGCGCCGGTGGGTGACAAGGTGGGAGTTCTGGTTGAAGCCCTTCCCGCAGTTGGTGCAGCGGAAGGGCCTCTCCCCTGTGTGTATCCGCTCATGTTTGAGGAGAGTTGAGCTGTCCCTAAACCTCTTCCCACACTGCAAGCACTTGTAGGGCCGTTCCCCAGTGTGGATGAGCTGGTGCTTGCGGAGGTTGGAGCTCTCCCTGAAGCTCTTCCCACATTCCCTACACGTGTAGGGCCTCTCCCCAGTGTGGATGCGCTGGTGTTTGATCAGGGTGGAGCTCTGGTTGAAGCTCTTCCCACATTCCCTACATGTGTAGGGCCGTTCCCCAGTGTGGATGAGCTGGTGCCCGATCAGGTTGGAGTTGCTCCTGAAGCTCTTCCCACATTCCCCACATGTGTAGGGTCGTTCCCCAGTGTGGATGTGCTGGTG